AACAACCACCAGAAGCAGCCTATCTTAGCTTCTCACAAAATTTTTACACAAGATATGTTTCTGGGGTGCTTCCAGACAAGGCATTTATCAATCATTCTGCCTCATTCACAGAATTGTAAAAGGTGTTGTAACACTCTTGTGTTTTCCCACCACTTCTGCTGTGCAGACAAACCAAGTGCACAATGACTTCTGATTTATAGTACTCTGAGCCATCCATCTGGAAGCACATTAAGAAGTAGTTTGCAAATTCCTATGTTTAAAATAGCCATGGGTGTGCATTTTATCATGCATATATGCATGCTAGAAAGTGGCAATTGGCCATGATTCCTAGTTACACTGGATATACTCACAGGCACAGCCGACATGTATAAATAACACATCCTATGCTCCTCATGTAGTTTTTAGAAAGTGCTTTTCATACAGAAATTCTTAAGTTTTGAAGAATTATCACCACCACCCCCACCACCCCATTTGCCCATCTGACCAGCCCATCTGATTCACTATGATCTAGTCTGGCTAGCATCAGCTCTCCAAGGCCTTTCCCATCACTTACATGGTCCTTTCAGCTGAAGATGCCGGGGTTGAACCTGGCACTCTATTGACAAAGCATGTGCTCCACCACTGAGTTATGCCCCCTCCCTCTGCATTTGGTGGCCCACTGTGGGAAACAGGTTGCTAGATGAGATGGACTTTTGCTTTATCAAGCACAGTTCCTCCTGTGCGCTTAGGCCTCCAGTCTCTGCCCCTGAGAAGCCAGGCTTGCTTTCATTCTTCAACTTCCAAACTAACAGTAGCCACAGAAGATCCAAGGGAAGGTTCTGAATGCATTGCAGCTGCACTAGAATTTTCGCCCGACTTTATCTTTGACATGCCTGGCCATAATGATCCTGTAGTGTCTAACCTGGAGTAAAGAATGGATCGGTACACACAAATTCCTGCTGCATCTTCGTATCTAAGACAGGCTGCAAAGCCCTAGGCAGGAAGGAAGATGAGGAGCAAAGCTGATGTAAAACACTGGCCCAGCAGCCCTCATTGTTAAGAATTGAGACTTATAGGCTGAAGCTTTCAGAGTCCCATCTAAGGCTCAGCTGCAGAATCTCAGAGGCTTCTGAAGGATATCCTCCTCATGGGGAGGGCCCTGCTCATAAGGCCCCCTTCTTTGCAGCAGGTACTTCTTACACTTAACCTTCTGGCCTGTCCCTTCTTTTGGAGGCTAGAGGGTCACTCAGTCTCTGTTTCAGGGGAAGAGATACCCTCCCCTTGTGGAGATGGACTTGCTGCTACCTCCCCTGAAGGTCCAGGCATCTTCTAGTCCTGGTCTCCTAGCATGGACTACACCTTGGTGTGGTTTGTCTTAGAGAGCTCTAGCTCTTCCTCTGAAGAGGATTCCTCCAATACCTCCACATGCTACATTATATTTCTCTTGTTCCAGGAGTACAGGACTAACATGAATCTTGTACTTCTAGAAAAACTACTCCAATATAATGCGTAGTCACCTCCGTTTCTTGCCCCTTAAAACTCATCCTTCTACCTTTGCTCCAACATACCTCACTGGGAAATTCTGCAAAATTTTGTATAAACAACATCTAATATTAAAACCAACTGAACCCTTCCCCTGCCAATATATGTTGTTTCCCATAGTGAATCCCTTTATTATTGTTGTTTTTCTCAATGCTTCTGATGCTTAATTGAAACATGCTTAAAATTCTTATCAGACCACTGTTGCATCCTCTACTGCTCACGTATTTGCTTGCAGATTAATCCCAACTTCTTGGCTATACAGTGGCAGGAATATAACAAGTTATCATATCTTTAGGGGGAAATGCTCTTTCTACGAGTGCTTCCAGATGAATCATTATTCTTCTGTAAGCTACACGTAAACTGCAATTGACCCTACACACTACTGGGGATATTACCCTTTTCTTGACAGTTCATCCATCTATGTTCTGTCAAAACCAGTAGGCACCACATACTGCAGAGGGAGGGAAAGAGGGAAGCCCAATTCATCTAAGCAGCCATTTGAAAAACAAATATCCAAGCAGTATGTCATAACAACACCACCGATTATACATTTAGTGCTACATGCTCATTCATTTAAGTGTGAATGTGCGGCACTGCCTATGACATGTCAAAAGACAACAGCAAAGGGTTGGATTCAGATGTAATAATAGAACAGGCCCACTGAAATCAGTAGGTTTCATGACTAACTCAAGTTCCAGTGATTTTAATATGTCTCCCCTAAGCAGGGTTACATTTTGATCAAGCCCATTCTCTTTAATGTTTGTTTCGGATGGGAAGTGTAGATTGGAAAAATGAATCATGCATTGGGAGTGCAGATTGGGAAAATGAATATTAAAAAAATAATCTAGGAAAAATGTTATTTATTGATTTATTGGATTTTTATCCCACCACATTAGTCAATAAGGCTCCTTTACTAATGTTGCTAAAATGATGATGGCCAAGAGAAATTAGGATTACAATGTTAGACAGCTTTAATTCCCTTTCATTTAAGCCATATTTTCTAATGTTTTAATTTTTAATTAATATATATCCAGGAAGGCAATGTAAGGTTAATTAAAAGATTGATCCTTTAAAAATCAATGGGGTTAAAGCATAATGCCCACTGCAGTGGTTGCAGTGCTGTGATAAATATTGCTGCCCACAGCCAAACTGTGCATTTTCCTTTTTTTAAAGGAAACATCACACTAAGGGGATGTACACCGATGGCACAGTTCTTCCAACTCTTCTCAAAACAGTCGGTGGAACAAAAAAGTAAAAGATGCACATAGGAAGATGGCAGACAGGTTACAATGTCATGTGGAACCCCTGCAAAATGGGAGCAAACGGGGCACAGTGAATCCACACTAAACGCCTGGTGTGGAAATAACCTATGTTCACTAGGAAAATATATTTTCTGCAGGTCGCATCATGAAAACACTTTCACAGGTAGAGCAAGATGCCAGTTCTTGCCAACATAATTAGCTAACTCGCATACTACCATAGCAATGAGACTTGCATATTTACACAGCTGCAATTATATTAATTGCCACTGGAGGTCTTCAATTTCTTAAAACCAGACTTTCTAAGAACATGATGAAATAGTTCTTGCAAAGACCTCAGAGCACGTCCGTATCTCAAAACAACCCTGTGAGGTAGAATAGGTTGAAGGACAGTTATTTACGCAGGGCTACAGAGGGCCAAAGCATTACTTTATCAAACCCTTAAAGTTATAGGGAGGAGATACATCGACTTTCCCTCTCCCTTCATGGGTGGCTTTAACCTGTTCCTCCCACAGGTGTAGAGTATGACTCTACACCTACAATATACATTCCCTAACAGTGATCTGTGTATTTTAATAGATTAGTATTTGTCAATGTAAATTGTGGGGCAGGTCTCTAACCCAGATTGTGATCACAGTGCGGGAGGAATGTCTCTCCATCCTGCTTCATCATGCGGATAGTAATGAATACAGAGCATGGTGGACCTGAACTATTCTGAAGGCAATCTGCCCCACAGCCCCAGCTCCTAGTTATGGCCACATCCAGCAGAGAACCAGAACCTAGTAATACCAGTAGTGCAATCCTATCCCTTCCTACTTAGAAGTAAGCTCTGTTGAGTGAATATGCCTTTGATTTGTGTGTGTGTATATGTGAAAGTACTCTATGCTACATTTCTTTTTCACAAAACCGTATCTGCTGAAAGCAAATTTTGAACAGATTTATCACATAAATACAAAACAGTGAGAAGCAGGACCACATGGACCTGTCTCAGACACAGTTGCCAAATCAACATTACAGAAATAAGGGAAGGCATTCTTTTAGAAAAGAAAAGCCAGGTCTATTGTTTCCCTTTGAAGGTTGGACACTGAAAAAAGAAGGGCAGGCATGAATCCAAGGCACCTCTTAGAGCAGGGGGCTTCTGGATGCTAACGCTGTGGTGCCAAGCAATCACAATGCCTTATCCTCCTGAACAGCCTGGAAAGTACAAGCCTCTTTTTGGCATTGCAGCAAGAAGCAGTGGAACTGCAGATGTGCAGTCTGCTGTAGCAAGGGACATGCATGCAATCCTTTATATATTGAAGAGATTTTTTTACAACCGACTACTGAAATATTAATACTAATACGTGCTAATACTAATAACAACTTGAGGTTGGATTCACTGGTCTCCAAGGAAGAGTTTAACCAAGGACGGTCAGCTCCACTCTGCTCTGAAGCTACTAAGCAGCTAGGTGACTAATTTCTGCCTCGACAGGCTCACAGTGCTAAGGCTTAAGTCATCTCACATAAACAGCGGAAAGCAAATATATTCTATAGCCTTCATCCTACAGTGAAGGATGTAGGAGAATCCAGCATTCTTGTAAGTGCAACTGCAACAAGGTTTTTAAAATAAAAGATATGGAGCACATACATATTTCTAGTAGCATTAGGAAATCACTAGAGGCAATACAGCTTCGTACTTATTCTATTAAAAATATGCATAAAAAACCTTTAACAGCACAACCATTTTTCCTGAAACAGACTTAAAAAAACCCAACTCCAGAATCTTTCAGCAGGAGCTAGAAGTATTTCTCAGTGCAAAATATGCTGTTTACACCACTGCTGCAGCAAGGAAGGGGGAGAAGCCAGTTTTGCAGCCTTTTGAATAACACCTTCAAATTTTGCAGAGGAGCACAGCAAGACTGAGATAATTGGGTGAATGCTCATTATGAAAACAGCATCTGATGGCAAAGCGGGGGAAATACAAATAGAATTCAAAAGACAAGCGTAGGGCTTGATTTGTATTTAAACATGCAAGCACATGAGCCTCACAGATTCCAAAACTGGCTTGAACAGCAATGAGAAGGAAATACAGTTATTGGTTTTCTAAACGGTAAGTTGGTGGGGGCGGGGAGAGCAACTTACATCAGCATACTGAGTATGCAATTGAACCCCAGCTCTGTTTTGTTAAAGGACAGCAATTGCTTTACAGAATCTCGTATCATTTCTTTTGCACATACTTACTTTAGCTGCCGAGGTTCACAGTCAACTCCTGGTAGCAAGAGCCTGGCTGCTTGCCGAACATCATCGCTGTCCACGGAGAAACTGCGACGGTGCCCTGCGTGCGCCAGCGCTACTCTTATCCATTCCATCAGAGGTGGCAGCACTATGAAAGGCCTAGGAAGAGCAAGACAAAGAAGCTATTTTCTCCCATTATGAAATGCATGCAGTGTCTGTGCTTGTATCTCAAAGGCACTGACAATTTTCTCGGAGGATTTGAGGTAGAGCCGAGCCGAGCCAAATACTGGAATCATTTTCCCCCTGAATTGAGTTCCCTAAAATAGCAATTCCCAAGTGTTTACTTATAGGTCCTGGGCTCTTTTCTTGGTATATGCATTTCCTTTGGGCTTTTCACACCTTGATTTCAATTTGAGTCTTAAGGAAATAATTAAATCGCTAGTAATTGTTTAGGGAAAAGGCACCTTTTTGCCCAAGGATTCCCTCCTTCCCAGATAAGCATAGGCGATCAGACTGAGAGCAAAGCCAATTTTTCCTCCTCTTTGAATACAGGGGAAAGGAAGCTTAAAAATCATATGTTGAAATTTTAATCGTGAAACCAGTGTAATATCAACAGCTGTCCAGTGTACAGAACTTATATCAGCATGAAATTAGAATTGTAGTACCTTTCAACTATCAAGAAGGATGACCCTGATACGGTTTTTCATTAATAACTGATGACTTTCCTTTTAGGTTGCAATCAAGGGAAAACAACTGGCATATAGTGATTTTCAGAATGACAGCCCCAGGCTTTGAGTGGAGGGGATCAATGAATACAGAAGGCTCTTCTGTTGTAATTCCAGAAATATAACCCGCCCTGCCCCTGACAGGGAGGTGATCCAGCAGTACCTCATTATGAAAACAGCATTTGCTAGCAGAAGAGGAAATACAACCAGAATACAAAAGAAAGGCTTTGGTCTTGATCTGGCTATTTAGACATGAAGGCACATAAACCTCACAGACTCTAAGAGGCAGCTTATTAAATTTTCTTCTCTCTCTCCTGTAAAAACTTCTGGTGATGTGGCATGGAAGGGTCAATGATGCAATTTGGGGATGAGAGTAGCACAACGCTATGCACAGCAATGTTTGAAATTGGGGTGCTTGGAATAGAAACATTGATCCGGAACGTCTGGGCTATCGATGAGCTGAGCCGAGACCACATCTTAGAAGTTTGGGCTCAGTTGACAATTCTCCATCACTGTAACTGCCCTCCCATTTTCTCTTGAAACTTACCAGCAGGAGGCAGAAATGTTGAGAGGACTCCAGGCCACATAGTGTTTCTGATGACAACATGATGAATACCCCAAGATTGGAAAGTCAGAAATGATCTAATATTTAAATGAGCTAATTCAGGCCTGATCCAAACTGAGCTGCAAGCTGCTTGTTTTAGGTGAGACAATTCCCAGCAAAACCAAGGGAAGCTTTCCCATCACTAGACATGGATGGATTTAAAATCGCAGTTTTTGTTATGTGGCTCACTGGGTGACTTGAGGCAGACTAACATATCATTACTAAGATAAAATGAAAGTAAATGCATCTTTTTCCCAGAAACATTTCATTTTTCTGAATTAGGATAAATGGAAGAACTTTGATAAAAAAGAAATGCAGGAAGTAAGATTACTATGTATTGCTTTAAAGAAAAAGTACTAAAATAAAATAATATCCTAACTGTGGTTCTTGGGTGTGTAATCAAAATTGTGCATGTACTTTCACAAAACAGAAGATGGTAGAACAGCTTTCTACAGCCTAACGCCCCCCTCCCCCAGAAAATGTGCCTGGAACATGGCTTGGCCATCTGGCTGGAACCCCAAAAGGGGCACCCCACACCCAGCGTATGCTCCCCTTTACATTCAAGTTGCTATAGTAACTAAATTTAATATGAATTGCAAGAAAATCCATGTGAATCCCCCCATATACTTTATTTTTCAAGAATTATCTGATCAATAGAGCAATTTGGAATCAAAAGCTTTCAAACAATTTCCTTCATTTTAATAAGGCTTGCTTAGAAGACCCTCTCAGTCAATTCTGCCCAGAATCATGTTTCAGCCTCTATGCATCTTATGTACACTACAAAAAATTTCCAGGGGTTTCTCAGGTTTTCCTTCCATCTAGGTTTGGATCCTTTGTCTTGGAACACTTTCAGAGTTTTTTTTTGGGGGGGGGGGAGTCTATTGTTTTCCCCTTTATATAAATGTGCTTTATTGTACTTGCTGAGTAGCCAAGGCTCCCTTGCCTAGATAACTATGAAGCAAATTTTAAACGGGCTAGACCAGATTTGGTTTTGTGGCACAAGGTGAAGAGGGGAGCATCTCTTTAACCAAACCAGATGTCCTCTTACAGTTCCAAGCAGGTGTAGATTGCTTGTTCCCCAACAAAAGCATCACCAGGGGGGAAATGTGAGTCACGAGTTGCCTGAGGCAATCTTCTTTGCTGTCTAGACAAGAGGGCTCTCCTCTTGCACTCACAAAGCAAGGAGAAGAAATAGCTGTAGAATTCTGGGAAAAGGTGCACTCAGGTCAATAAAAATGATAAATTGAAACAACAGATGTTTCACAAGAGCCATGCACTGAATTTCTCCCAAAAGAAAATACATGTGAGGGCAAAGGAGAATCTCACAATGCACTCCAGAAACAAATATAGTGCTTGCATTCCTACATCATGACGAGCAATCCTGCATGGTTACCACCATGATCTACCTGATGGATAATCAAGTGGATTTTCTGTATCATGGTTTCTGTCTTCTCCACTCAGTTCTCCCATCTTTTGATATGTATTCTATCAGCTACTGCACCTAAAATTCAATCCCAAGGTGTATAACCCCTTGCCTATGTCACCTGTCTCTTCCTCATTGGTCCACACATAGAGGCTGGCTGGGGGAGTGGCTCCTGCAGGTTCTGCTCTTTCTAGGAGACTCTTTGATGGTTGCATACCAAGGCCATGGAAACCATGATCCTGGAGTCAGACAATACAACAAGTCATGGTGGTACAGAGAAACCACAGAACAACCTATTGTTTCTCATCATGGTTTCTAAAGACCAAACTTATCATGATGAAGTAAGTTTGCAACAACACAAAACAACAACAATGGGGGGAAAGCCATGGTGTGTTGTGTTGTCTAAATACAACCAGTGATTGTAATCCCGGATAGAGTGCAGGCTAGAAAGAGGCCCTCATGACCTTGAGCTGGGAATATGGTAACCTCAGAGATCACACCAGCCTTCCCAACCTGGTGCCTGCCAGATGTCCTATATTACAGGTCTATTTGCCATGCTGGATCAGGATGGAAGGAGCTGTAGTCCAACACACTTGAAGGATGCTGTAGGGAATGGAGTAGACAATTATTCTGGGCACATGTTCCAAAGTCAGGATTGTATCAATTCTTTTCATGTGGGCTCCGAAATCTTTCAGATGGAGGGTGTGGGAATTGAGGGGGCAGAAAAGGGTGAGGCTGTCTCAAGGTCACTGCCCCCAGGTTCTAAGGCAGACCATGAGAGCAGAAAGGGTTAGGAGAGAAGGGAGGCAACAAAGGATAAGGGGAAGACAACATCAGGATAGAAGAGGATGGAAGTGGGCAGGAGACAACAGGATGGCGTTCAATGTGGAGAAGTGGAAGGTCTTGCACTTGGGGCATAGGAGTAGGTGTCATAAGTACAGGTTAGGGGACAAGTGGCTGAAGAGCAGCACTTGTGAAAGGGACCTCGGGGTACTGGTTGACTGCAGGCTAAACATGAGTCAGCAGTGTGATGCGGTGGTCAAGAGGGCGAACGCCACCCTTGGTTGCATAGCCAGAAGTGTGGCTTCTAGATCAAGAGAGGTATTACTACCATTCTACACAACTCTAGTGCGCCTGCAACTGGAGTATTGTGTTCAGTTTTGGGCCCCTCATTACAGAAAGGATATAGCCAGGTTAGAGTCAGTGCAGCGTAGGGCCACAAGGTTGGTGGTCGGTTTTCAGGGGATGGGGTATGAGGCGAGACTGAGGGAACTGGGTCTCTTCAGCCTGAAGGAGACTCAGAGGGGATATGTTGGCGACATACATGTATGTGAGGGGATGTTACATGGAGGTGGGTAGAGACCTGTTCTCCCCTGCAGAGGAAGGCAGGACGCACTCCAACGGAGCAAAGCTCAGGGAGCCAAGGTTCCATTTAGATGCCAGGAAGCACTTCCTGACAGTCAGGACCCCGAGGGTGTGGAACGGGCTTCCACGGGAGATCGTTGGGGTCCCATCGGTGAGGGTGTTCAAAGATAGGCTGGACATAAACATGGTGGGCATGTCGTGAGCGGAGCCAGCTGGAGCCGGAGGTCAGACTAGATGGCCCGGGAGGCTCCTTCTGACTTGTTCTGTTTCTATGTTTCTAAGAGCTACCAGTTAGAGGGCTAGGAGGCCAGCTCCTCTCCTGAGGGATCCACTCAGAGGGATGGAGCCCATTGTTACTGAGAAGGAGGACTTTCAGAGGTAGTTTCTAATTTAGTTCAACTAATCACTCTGTTCATACAGGGACTAGTCTTTCAGTTGCTGCACTTTGTTAGCTGTGAAGTGGCAATAAAGAGCTATTTTGCAAAGAGAATGACTGTTGCTTTGGAAGCTTGAAACAAATAAGGGGCAACATAGCTCCTGCAGGTACCAGGCTGGATTATACCAGGTGCTCAGCAGGGAGGAAGGGATGCCTCTCTGCTGTTGCCAGGTTGCATCAGAATAACACACTATCCTGCTGGAAACCCAAGAGAGAAGGGAAAATTTGTTGTCAGGAAATTTGGCCCATCACACAGGCAGTGATTATTATTGCATATTTGTGGTTAAATTGGTGGCATCACTAATTTTATACCATTTTTAAACCCTGCAATCTAAGAATTTCATAACTGATAGAACAAGGCCCTGCTTTTACAGAGAAGTGAAGGAATGTATAACAAGCAATCAAAATCTTGACATTTTATGGTAACTGGGTCACCCATCGGCTTAAAAGTGGGGGACACACAGAGATGGAAATATGTTCCTTTCCACAGCAGGAAGGGGACCCCTTCATTCCCTTTCAATTGCCCACAACCACTTTTATTTGGAAGAAATATCTGATGAAGGTGTGTGTGCATGGGATGGGAGTAATGTTCCCTAATTTAAAAGC